AGAGAGAGAGAGAGAGAGAGAATGCGTCCATTCCTGTAGAGATCTGATATGGCCATGGTGATGCATGCTTTAGTTCATCCTGGCCGGATAACTGTAACACACTCTACATGAGGCTGCCTTTGGAAAGTGTTCAGTGGGTTCAAAATGTGGCAGTAAAATGGGGCTGGTCACAAAGATCACATAAACCCCTGGTACAGCAGCTCCACTGGCTGTCAGTCTGCTCCCAGGCACAATTCAAAGTGCTGAGTCTCTAACTTACCAGTTCTACTCTCCCAGTGAGTTACCACGGCTTAGTGGGGATTTGAACCCATCTCCAGAGTCCTAGGCCATCACTCTATCCACTACCTCACACTAAGTATTTGATACTTTTATTAGACCACTAATTTTTTTTAAAGCAAGCTTTTATGGATTAAAAATCCCTTCTTCAAGCATGCACCAGTAACTTGTGAGTAGTGCAGAAAAATTATAAATGCATGTCCCCAAAATTCATGGCAAAGTTGTCAGGCATCATCTTGTTACAATGAGTTTAAAGCTGGCTGCAGGTAAGCTGTGCAGTGTGCTTTAATGCTTCACTCCACTGAGTGGTTGAAAATTTCCACTCAGCATTAAGACAGATTTCTTTTGAAAAAGACCAGTATGTGTTAGTCCATCTATTAACCAACTTGTATACACTGGATGCCCTCTAAAACACATATAAGACTCCTGTTCAACTCAGCATCGTAGAAGGAAGTACCTGTACATTAAGCAAATTAAAAAGAGAAATAGAACCAGCTTTCTTGGTTGAACATGCCAAACAAAATGTAAAATAAGAAGGGTATTGTGAAAAGTAATAAGCAATGGTGCATGTGATCTTTGCAGAAAATCTTATCAAGGAAAGGAAACAGGCAGTTCCCCAATGTCATGTTCCAGCTTCTTTCTTTTAGGCCCAAATTGATTTTATTCAGGAGAGGAACTGCTGCAATGAACATTCTTTATGTAAGAGAAGTAAACTTGTCCACCCAAAAGCATTTAAAATGCTATTATGGAACATATGTAATGCTCCTTGGATAACATTTGCATGCCACTTCCCATGCGGTTCAGCTCATTCACAGTGAGTCTTCATGTATCTTGGTCTAGCCACTTGGAAAGCTATTTCTACAGGGATCTATCGCATGGGGCTGATCTTTTTCAGCAGTCTCTGACTTCATGGGGGCAATATTAGAATATTAGAATATGTATCACTATTCTGTACTTATTAGAACCCTATTGAGAAACAGAACACTGCTGGGAAGCAAACACTAGGGTATAGTGGTCAGAGTGTTGGGATGTGGTTACATATCAAAATACTCCTGGGTTTGCATTAGGTTTAGCACGCTTGAAATTGATTTTAAAATATCCACTTACATGATGTACAGCGAAAGGTGCACTTTTTTGGCCAGGGAATATTTTGTTGTTGTTCAGAAAGTGAGAATTTTTAAATACAGTGGTGACTCGCTTAATGAGCGCACCGTATAACGACAAATCCGCATAGCGATCCCTTTTTTGGGATCGCTAATGTGGAGGCATAGCGTCGGTCCCTATGGCAAAAACTCGCATAGCGACGATCGGTAAGCGTTTTGCTTACTGATCTTCGCTTTGTGATGCCCGCGGATCAGCTGTTCGGCAGTTACAAAATGGCCACCGGAAACCCTGAAATGGCCACGCGCAGCGTTTCCGTGCTCTCCCCTCGCTTACCGAGGGCGCGAAAATGGCTGCCGCTATGGAGGAAACTTCGCTGAACGGTAAGTTTAGGGCCCATTAAACATCGTTTAATGCGTTCCAATGGGTTTTTACATTCCATTTAGCGATGTTTTCACATAGCGAGGGTTATCCAGAACGTTTAGCGATGTTTTCACATAGCGAGGTTTAATCCAGAACGGATGTACCTGCTGACTCACATAGCGAGGGTTAATCCAGAACGGATGTACCTGCTGGAGACTTAGTTATTTTCACTCAATTATGAACTCAATTATTTCTCAATTTAGTATGAATCATTGTTGCATGTGTGCTTGCCTATGATGGACTAAATTGTGTCTGTGGGGTTTATCAAGTATTGGATGCCAGGATCACAAGTATTGGGCTTCTTCCTTTTTTTTTTCCTTTTCTTTTCTTCCCTATCTGTAACACAGATCTGGCACTATGGCAGTTTGGGGGAAAAAGTTAAAAAAAATTGCAAATCATGCCACAGAGGAAGAACATGGCTTTTGTCCCTGTCTCTCACATTGCCCCTATGTGCAAAGTGAGTTGGTGGTACCAGAGGCAAGCGGTTGTGAGAGGCAGCCAGCAGGAGGGCAGGTGGGGACAGGACAAAATCTCAAAAGCGATTCCAGGATGATGTGCCGGCAAACAAAACATCTTCCCATAGCTATAGGTGGCCTTTTTTAATTTGTATTTTAGTTTTGTGGTGCAGGTATTTCACTCCAGGAAGGGGAAACACAGAACGCTGGAGCTGCATAGTGCCAATTTTAAAAGCCTGTATAACTCCCTCAACCAATACATTCCACATCAGATTAAAAGTTGTCCCAAGAAGACGCACACACTGACCGCAAAAACCACATGACCACCATGTGACTTTAAACCATTTCAAAAACCCCGATCCATTTCCTGATTTATTTCAATAGTGTAATGGTGCCCTTGGACTGCAATGTGGGAGATACTAGTTCCAGTTTCTGATGAACCATGAAATTCACAGGGTGGTCACACTCTGTCACTTCACTAATCTCAGAGAGCTCTTCTAAGGGTAAATTGGGAAGAAGGGAAAACACACAGTCTGCCTTGAAATTATTGGAGAGAATGTGGAATATAAATGTAATTAATAAGCGAATAATTAAGTCATGGTGCATTTGTGGAAATCCTTTTCACCAGTGCCTGTTAGAATCATGTGATGATTCATGTGATGTCAATGAAGAGGTTATCAACAACAAAAGCCATATGCAAATGAAATAGCATCACTAGCTGTCAGTTCAAAGGGCCTGCAAAGGCTACTGAATAAAGTCATTGAAGTAAGTGATGGCTATGGTCTAAAAATAAAATAAATGCCAAGAAAACCATGTTTAAATAAAATCAGTAATAACAAGTAGTCCAAGAGACACAGTTAAACAATGTGTGTGCGGCATGTTGCAAATACACTTATCCTAAGAACTGGTAGCATGAACAACAGAATTACATCTACACAATACCAATATAACAGAAACAGGTTTCTTAAGATAGAGAATACTATATGCAAGAAAAACTTTTAATTGGTTCTGAGAATCCACATTGTAGGGTGCTATTCATTCTGCTATTCCAGCTCTACTCCAGGGCCTAGAATCATGGACACAATAGAGCCAACAATTAAAAAAATGTTGAAACATCTGAAGTGTAGATTAGTGCAGGATGCTACAAATTTATTGGAGTGAAAGTGCAACCAATAAATAAATACTTAGACAAACGGGGAAAACCCCCCAAGAAATTATAAAACAGGTAAAATGCAGAAGGCGAAAACACTTTGAGAATGTAATGAGCAGTGAAAAGTATGGATTGTTTCAGCTGATCATTCAGGCTAAAGTAATTGGGAATATAAGTGGTGGAAGAAGAAAGTGTTGGCTAAAGATCCTTGGGGACTCTTTCAGAAGCAGCACAACATTGCTGTTTAGAGTTGACCAAAGTCATAATACCCATAAAGATGTCCGAAAGGTAACATGAGACAGAAGTGTTTTAATATTATAATGCACTGAACTGTGTTTTAATGTAACCTCTTCATCTTTTTGTGATCTGCTTTGAGTCCCAATTCTGGAAGAAAGGCACGATATGTCAAATAAGGAAAGAAATGAGTTTAAATGCGGGGCCATAGGTTTTTGGTGGAATTTTAATTGCTGGAAGAAAACGGGGTATCTATATTTGGATGGTGAAAGTTGTGTATATTTTAACTTTTTTTTTGTAGTGTTGTCCAGTTTTACCTTGGGGAAGAGCACCTCATTTCGTTGCACCCACTTGTGAGCGCAATGACAAATAAATTTCTTATGTCTTTCTTATGTCTTAAATAACATTTGAAGCTCCATGCAGCATTAGCCACCATTACTTTCTGTGGAAGTGGAGTTCTAGCAAGGAGTTCCTTTCCATTGCTGCTTACATAGCACTGAACCCCAGATCACATGGGGAAGGTGTCCATGCCATGGCTTCCTCTCTTCCGGCTGTGCCAGAAAAGAGCATTGTGGGTTTACTGCTAATTTTGGTTTGAATATAAAAGGAATACTTACTTGGATGAGTCCTCCTAAGAATGAAACTGCTGCAGCAACTCCAATTCTCTGCATCTCAAACTCAGACAAACCCAAGACAACAGATGTGTTGTCTGTTGTGAAACTGCTGTTCCTGGGAGGCACAAGGCGTTCAACAGCATTGGCGGATATCAAGGAAGTCAGAGCAAATGTTCCTGTTAAAGAATACGAAAGACTGTTTAATGTCCACTCGCCTACTGCTCTTATTTGTTTCATGTGGTGAGTTGAAGGGTCAAAGAGGATTCCAACAGAGAGCACAACATTCAAAGTGGGAACAGGCTTTGCCTATCTCCTGTACCATGCAAATAAGCTCGCTTTGCTTATACTTTGTTATTAGGCGGTAAAGGTTGACGGTTCCGATGTGAAGTTAGGAGGAAACTGTTGTTGAAACTCTAATATGCGTTCAACTTCTAATAATGAGCAATCCATCAGCTAGTTTGACCCTCTGCATGCGTAGAAGAAAAAGGTCAGTGAAATCTAGAAACATTAATCATCATGCACCATCAAGTCAATTCTGCCTTACAGTGACTCTTTTCAGGGTTTTCCAGGTAGAGAGTAGTCAGAAGTGGTTTATCCTTCCCTTCTTCTGGAAGCACCTTGAGACTGTGCAGCTTGCCCAAGGCTACACAAGTTGGCTCCACTTGCAGGAGGCAAAGTGGGGAATCAAGCTCCCAAACTCTAGCTCCACAAACAGCCAGCTCTGAAGTCCAATTAATTCTTCATAAGATTAGCGGGCCAGCTTGTTTATTTGATTGATTGATTGATTGATTGATTGATTGATTGACTGATTGATTGATTGATTGATTGATTTGATTTGATTTGATTTGATTTTTACCCCACCCCTCTAGACAACGTCTACTCGGGGGGACTTACATAGGTTAAAAACACATCAAAATAGCATATATAAAAATACAATTCTTACAATTAATTCTAAACAACACATTTCCAAGATAGCAAGACTCAAGAAGAGGGGGGGAATCACTTAATTAGCTGGAGGGAAGGGCTGTTTAAATAACCAAGTTTTTAACTGGCTTTTGAAAACGCCTAGCGAGGGTGCCAGCCGAATTTCAGTAGGGAGAATATTCCTTAGCCGGGGGGCCACCACCGAGAAGGCCCAGTTTCTTGTTTTTTCCTTCTGGGCCTCCCTCGATGTCAGGCCCCTCAGCCGTCCCTGCTGGCTATGTCAGGTGATTCAGGTATATCTGGGTGGGAGAAGACAATCTGCCAAATATTGAAAATATTAGAAAGCCCAACCACACACTTTTTCGGCACACATTCCATTTTCCACACACATCAACTTGCCATAAAAATATAGTTTCTTATTCAAAGGTCCATTTCCCTATAATGCAAATGGTAAATGAAAAAGGATTTAATTTGGCTCTTCCATATATGTGAATCAAACAACTGATAGAACATCAGATCCCTACATAGATATTTGATTGAAATCTTTTCAATATTTTGTACACTGTGATAGCCTTCCATGGAAGGGAAAGTTGAGGTTGATCACATAATTATCCCTGTGTGGAATGGGTTGTTTGCCAAAGGGTAATGAAGATGGGTGCTGCCAGCCAGGCACAGTGCATAATCTATGATGGAAACAGAATTCTGCAACTGTTTTACATTTAGCAAAATTTCAGAATTCAATTTTACATACTTGGTTTTGAAGACTCTCAAATACCGGTTTGGAAATTTTACTGTTTTCAAAACTCCTAAATCCTAGGGTCAAATTCTAAGACTACTGTACAGTGTTAAATAACCACTCAATACAACAGTTTGTACTCTAAATATTTAGAAGGAAAAGAGCACTTTTAGTTGAATGTCCCTATCATTCCCTATCATCCACTTCATGTTTTACAGCCTTCCAAAGCAGAATTCATAGCATACAGGGAAATGGGTGAAGGTCATCTTACTTCACTTTGCCAGAAGAAGCAAACATAATAACCAAGGCAAAGTTAATTTTGAAATTTTCTGAATCCCCAACAATTCAGATTTCGGAATTCAAAATTAGGAATTCAAAAGAAGGCATGTAATTTAAGTTTTCACAAAATGATCTGAGTGAGCTACATCTGAAAATTGTTTACTTCTTACTCCAGATTCATTACATCTTTAATACCTTGAGAATATTTGCCTTAATATATTTTAATAAAAGAATAAATGGTTATAGGGCACTTTGGAATATTCACGAACAATATCCACAGTCCTACCACATTACTTGATTACAGCAGCAGTTGAGCAAAAAACAGAAGGCATTTTTACTGGTGTCTGTTATGTGCCCAAAGGCCCTTCAGTTACACAACTGGATGTCCACACAGCACGCAAATTGCAAAAAATAATGCAGCTAATACACAAAATATTTCACAACAGCATTTGGGCCGCTGTCAAGTCTTTCATATACAGTGGTGCCTCACTTAACGAGCGCGCCGTTTAACGACGAATCCGCATAGCGACACGTTTTTGCGATTGCTAATGCGATCGCATTGCGACGTTTTAATAGGCAAAACATTGCATTGCGATGATTGGTAAGCGTTTCACTTACCGATCTTCGCATTGCGATGTTCTAAAAACAGCTGATCGGCGGTTCCAAAATGGCCACCGGAAGGAAAAAATGGCTGCCCGCTCCATTTTCGCGCCCTGCCCTCGCTTACCGGGTGGCGAAAACGGCGGCCAGATGGAGGATTCCCCGCATAGCGGTGAGTTTTCGCCCCATAGGAACGCATTAAACGGAGTTTAATGCATTCCTATGGGTTCCCCCCCCGCATAGCGATGAATCCGGATAGCGACGTTAATCCTGGAACGGATTAATGTCGCTATGCGGGGCACCACTGTATATTGTTCCAGTAGCCTTTACAACACATCTGTAAGGTAGGTCAGTAACATTATCCTCACACTGCAAGTGTGACAATGACCATGGCTTGGGTAGACACAATCACAGCAAGGCTGATTTTTAAATCAAAGACTTTCCATTTCTGCCATTTCCACACAGGTAATCTTAGGTACATTTACATCCAAAAATGTGTACTGTGTTCAGTGGGTTTACTCCCTGCCCAGTGTGCCCAGGATTATAGTGACAGCCACTGTGCGGCACTAATTCTTGTTGCTATTTTCCAAATTCGTACCATTCTTTACATTAATGATTATATAAGCAGAGTTTTTAAAAATGGCCTTATTCAGAGATCCAATAAACTGGAGTGGGGAATATGTGCTTCTTCAGCCCTAGTCAGCCTAACCCCTTGCTATTACACCTAGTAGTGAAGAATGAGGGAATTACAGTCTGACATCATTTGGATGGCCACATATTCCCTACTCCTCAGTTAGAAAACCATTAAGACCGCTCAGATTTAGAAGGAGTAAAAAATGTTCTTCAGAGACAGAAAGCAAACCCAGAAACTCTAAACTATGTGTTATTGTATGCCTTCATTGCTTGACTGAACAAAATTTGCCTCTTACATTCAGTTCTGGCAACGCTCATTTTCATCTGAAAGCATGCTGAACAGAGCAGAACTTTTATCAATTCTATGCTCAGATAGTCATCTCTGCAGAAAGGATCCAGCATATCTCCGAAGTACCAGATGGCCTAAATGCCTTTGTTGCAGAAACCAATAGTCCAGCTTGTCCCAGTTGGGCAATTATTTAACTTAAAATGAAGTAACTACGTAATGTCTCCTTTGCTGATTCAGAATTATCAAAGCTTCCAAGGAACTTGCCACAAAATTCAATTCCAACATGCCAGTGAGATGCAAGGGGCCTTCGACAATATGCTTTTGCATAGGTTCTGATGCAAATTCTATGTACTTTGGACAGAAAGTTGCTTTCCCAGTAGACCACATGGCTCCTACAGAGCTGTTAAACGTAGCACTGAATGCACGTTTTGGCATACAGGCCGTTTTTTGAAAAACCACGCAATTACTAAAAAGACAATGATTACTCCTTAGAAAGCATAATAACAACCAAAGGGAATGTGCCTATAGCTGGGCTTTTCAAGCCCTGAGGGGTTAGCTTTGTGTGTGGTTCCACAGAAGACTGAGTTTCAAAAGAGAAACACCCCTCCCCAATATCTCCACAACGGTCACAGTTTTTTCCCTTCCTCCATCCTTTCCAGCCCAAATTAACCAAACGAAGGCTACGACCCCATACCCAGCTCTATTGTTTTCTACAAACGGGACCAGATGGTCTCTTTTCTGGGATGAGGGGGAGAGGAAAAAAACCTGCTTTTCATCTGGGAAGTCAGTGTCTGAGATCACTAGCTTGGAGGGACAGGTAACAACTCCACCAATAACAAGTACACACTCTTGCTTGTGGTGGTCATTTCTCTCTAGCAATGGGAGAGGATGCTGCAAACTTGTCTTCAGTGTCAACAGTCAACTGAAACTATTTTTGTCTTTTACATGGGTACTGTCAAAGCTCATCATGCCTTCACTATCTACATTTCAATATGAGGGAAGTTAAGGGAGAGAAGGGAACTTTTACATGGGTACTGTCAAAGCTCATCACTATCTACATTTCAATATAAGGGAAGTTAAGGGAGAGAAGGGATGACGAGAGTGCCAGAGCAGCTATGGAAGACTAGACTGAAGGCCTATATAGCACGGCATTCTTGTGAACAGGGTTCTACCAGTTGTATATAGGAAACCTATAAGCAGAACGTGAGGACAACTGCACCCTCTGACATACAGAGACATTTTTTCAGTGGTTCAGCAAATAGAGAACATGCCTTACAGGAATGTCCTAGTTGTAGCATAAAATGGCCCACCACAGCTCTCGTGGCACCACCCTCATCATTCATTGTCTCCCTCCTGTCCCCTCCACATCACTGCTGCCCTATCTTTATGACCACTTTTCCCACTAGGTCTTATTCCAGTGGGAGGCCGATTCATTTTGACAAATGGGGCACTGCCCTTACTCTCAGGCCTAGACCCACTCCTGCTTGGCTCCTTAACAGTCTGCCATTTTGCTACAATGGTGATGTAAGGAGAGGATAAGAGTAGCTAGAAGGATGGCAAAGAATCAAGGAGGATACTGCGGAATCAACCTAGAAACTATTCTTCATTGCGGTTAGATGTTAAATGTTAAGGAGTTCTACTCTAGCATCACTGGAAGGGAAGAGGAAGTGGATAAAACCATGGGGTCACAAAGAGTCTATCACGACTTAATGACTAAACAACAATAACAACAAACCTGTGGCTTTGGCTTCACCTTCATTGTCCTCTCTGTCATCCAGTCCCAATGGGCACTGGTTGCTGCCCCACATTTGGAGAGCGGCAACAGATGTTTTCTGTGGCCTCCAAATAAGCAGCCATGCTACTCTCCCAGAGGGGGTCCTCAAAATAAGAAACTAGGTGGGTGATTGGCAGTTCCAGAGAGCCTGGTTATCTGCTCACTCACTCTCTGGATGATCTTCAAGCAAGTGAGAAGATGGATTTCTGTTCTGAGAAGTCCCACCAGTGGCTGTCTTCTCTGACATTTGTTGCAGGAAAAGAGTGGGATTGACAGAGGGTGCAAATGGCCACAGCTTCTGCTCTAATGAGTGCAATGGGGCATTGACCCCACCTTGAGGTAGTACTAGCCCCTAAAGAAGCCAGGTTTTGGAAAAGTCCCACTATAATCTTGGAGACCCACTGCCAGTCAGTGCAAAGATGAAGACTGAATGGACTAGTGATCCGGCTCGATGTAAGGCAGCTCTCAAGAAAGGGAGATAGAGAAAGAAAGAGCATAGATAAGAATGGGGTACTGTATTACAATCTCCTCACGGAGTTACTCATAAGAGGTTTGTGGCTGTCTGTGGGGGTGCCATTCCCAAGGTTGCTAAGCCACATGGGTGGCTGCTTCTGAGGGGAGGAGCTGCCATCATTCCTCCTCTTTCTCATTATCATAGAGAGCTTGCCATAGAGGCCTTTCCTTAGGCCAATCAGAGGGCTTGATTATTTGCCTTTCTCCAGACCGACCCCAATAACATGATGTAACCATTGTCCTATCTGAACTCTATTTACTATCTGTAACGCTGTCACTACCAGTGACCTTGTAATGTTAATAAAAGGACAGTCTCCTGGGGGCAGGGGAGAGAGAGAGAGAGAGAGAGAGAGAGACCGAGAGAGGAAGAGACGCCCACCAGGAGTACTGCTGGCAGACATCCATCTCTCTGTGTGTGGCTGACTTCTTTAATCTATTGCTAAGAGGCTCTTTGCTATCCATTGTCTGGTGATCACCACAACGCCCATCAGCCTGCTCATTGCCTGAACCCAACAGCTGTCATGCTATAGAGATAAATTAAATGAAGGAACAGTAGGCCAAGGGCCAAGAACTGCTCCTCTATGCTCAGTGCTTTATGAAGCCCAGATGTCCCCAACATTTGTAATGTTTGTCCCTAGGGGTTTTCATAGTGCCACCACAAGCTCTTCTGTCCCTCTCACTACCTGTCTCCATCACCCCACTCTCTCCCACTCTCACTGACAATGTATGGGAATAAATACCAGGAGATGGAAAGGAGAAGTCAGACCTCTTTTGCCTGGACCCTGAAGGCCAAGGCTTTTGGGAAATTGCTGTCCACATAGTGGCCATGCTCCAAAAGCAACCACTGTGACTAAACTGCCATCACATCAAAAATTATTTCCACAAAGAAAAAAAGTCACCTATTTGATATCATTACTTATTTTTACAGGTACGAAGTTTTTTGACATAGACAAGGTTTTGGTTTAGCAATTTCCCACCAATATTCTGCAGTGATAGAATTTCTAATCATTTGTCCTTCAGCACACTGAATCAATTTTCAAGGACGAGGAGGTTATTATTAGCAGCCTCCTCTGCTCCCAGTTTACAGCCTCTCTATATATTAAGGGCAACTAATCTGAACAGGAGATTCTGTGTTCACCGTGGAATTTCCAGGGTTATGATTCATGAGCACCCACATAAAGCAAGGGATCGTCAAATGCCTGTCATCCATGTGTAGGAGGGCAACTGAAATTATAACAGAGGGGGATAGGACTAGAGTGCCCACCCACTGATGCAAACCATAAAACATTTGGGAGTTTTTACAGCCTTGCACACTGCCTATGGTTTGACTGGCTGGGGGGTGGATTTTCTGGGCTGGAGTGATAGTCAATCTATCAAGCACAAACCAATTGCTCCCTCTCGCCTCCGAGTTCAAAGACAGACCCACCTCTTTGTTGGGTCCTCTCTCTTTCCCCATCTTTAGTCTGAGAAAGGCAGTATGTTTGTTAGTTTGCTGTTGATCTGTTCACAATTGTAAGTAATGAAACATCTTATTCTTTCTCCTACAAATGTCTGATAGCGAATTACGGAGACTTTAAGTGTCATTTAATAAGGAAAGGGGTGGACTGTCTGAGGACTGGCTAGCTGTTCTCCCCTGTGAGTCTCTGTACTTATGCTGTGCATCAAAAAGGCAAATCTTAACCAAAAATGTTAAATTCTGCAACAAAAAAGAGATCACTTTCAAAAAGCCTGGATATACACATCCACAACCGTGAATTCCTGGGTGACACATGATCTGATGAAATACAGTGGTTCTCAATCTTGGATCCCTGAATGTTGTTGGACTGCAACTCCCAGTACCCCTTGCTACTACTTCTGTGAGTAAATTTGGTAAACGAAATTTGGGAACCACTGGTCTATTAGCCCTGGAAGCTTGTAAGAGAATAGTAAAATATCTGGAGCCATGGTTGTCATTTCTTGTTTGACTATGTTCCTGTTGTACATAATATGGGCTTATGATTGGCTTATATATCCTTCATATAATAAAGAAAATCAAAATAGAAAATGATATTTTTGGATAGAGAAAGAAGATCTGGGGATCTGGATCATCCAAACAGAAGCAATAATTGTGTCTTCTAGTTTTAAAGAAACCAAACATTGAGTAGATTTTTAAATTAGAATAAATGTACTGTATACAGAATTTAAAGTACACCAATCTCTTGTAAAATGCATTCATGAAGGCAGTCGTGGTGAAATATTACACTAAAGGTGTTGACACAGGAACAACGTATTCTTAATCACACTCCACACACCCAAAAATAGTTTTCTGGGGATGCTTGGGCAGGATGCAGTTTTAAAGGACACATGCATAGATATGGGTTATTTTAGCGTTTGTGGTTTCTAGCTTTACTCCGCTGCAGGCTTAGAGCCATTGTCTTTGATAAAGCCCTAGTGAAATTTGAATCAATCATCTGAGGAAAATAGCCACTGAAGATGCATCCCACTGAGTTCCCCACACTTCATTTACTTTCATGGGAATCTGCATGGAGTTCCCACAAATGAAAAGAGACTGAACGACTGCAGTTTGGTTGAAGTGTACTCTGTTCACCTTTCATCAAAGCTGGCTAAAAATCAGTTAGACTCCATCCAATCCCTTGTTTTATGAGCATTATATTGTACAGTGGTGCCTCACATTACGATATTAATTCGTTCCAGCGAAATCGCTGTAGAACAAAAACGTTGTAATGCGAAAATAAAAAACCATTGAAACGCATTAAAACCCATTTAATGCATTCCAATGGGCTAAAAACTCACCATCTAGCAAAGATCTTCTATAGGGTAGCCATTTTCGGTGGCTGTCTTGCGAGGAATCCGTCCCAGAAAACAGCGGTGAGCCATTTTATTTACCCGGTGGCCATTTTGAAACCGCCGATCAGCTGTAGGAAAATCGTCATTTTGCGAAGAATCAGTTCCCAAAGCAGGGAACTGATCATCGCAAAGCAAAAAAAAAGCCTATTCAGACCATCATTTTGCGATCACAAAAGTGATCGCAATAACATCATCGTAATGCGGTTTTGTCGTAATGTGGGGCAATCGTAAAGCGGGGTATGACTGTATGTTATATGGCATAATAGTATATGACATAACAGTATACAACATGACATTAGATAGATAAAACTTTATTACAGTCAAAAGACCAGCCACAAATAAAACATCTAAAATATATAAATATACAGAAAAATACAAAAATATTGGGATTGAATGCAAAGCAATAGTTGTTTCTGAGGTAAAGAACAACAGTGCCAATACATCAATATATCTATATAACATTACATTAAGATAATCAGCTACTGTTTTCAAAATTGGCCTGCAAGAATTTTTAAAAACTAACCTGTGGCAACGTGACGGCCCATTCCAAATATGGCATAAATAATAACAGGGAAGAGAGATCCATATAAGCCGAACACGGGATGCACTGAAGACAGAACAGCAAAGGCAAGTCCTGTGGATAAGGTAAATGGGAATAACAAGATGTTCCATGTTAATATATTTCACACTACTGTCAAAACAAAGTTGCAATCTCAACTCTAATATCTAAAGATTTTCAGAACCACACAGAAATACATAAGAAACAATCTTATGAGAGTTGTAGTCTGACACCTGATCTCATCCAATTTATTAAAAGCAGGATCGGAAAAATCACTTTCTTAGATTACAACTCCCCAAAGTCTCTAGGCAACATGACCTGTGATGGCCAATATAAAAAACTAACGTTTCCAAATTCTGCTATTGCGTTGTGGAGGGGGAGGGTATGGGTGAGAAAAGATTTATATTAAGGAGGAATGGAAGCAAAAGATGAGAAGTATTATCCAGTCATGTCATTTGTACTCTGGCAAACCCAACAATAATTGATGGCAATCTCATGAGAGTGTCACCAGAAGCACAGGTAAAATCCTGTTGAAATAACTATGCCTGTGGAAGGATGATAACATCATTAGCAGGAGCAATTTTTAGTTATTAAAAACTTCCTACTTCTGACCCAGGGCTTTTCTGACTCCCTTTGACTGTGTGGAAACCATAGGAAACATGGACCAGAATGATGTCTTTAGTTACAAGAAAGTGCCCCTGGATGATGTTAGCAGCAAAAAGAGATTTTCAGTAATTGAAGACATCCTCCTTCTGTCCTGCAGCTCCCATGGCTTATATGAGATGAAAGGGATCACATGTGAGTTAGAAAAGCTTCAGCACAGAAGTAAAAAGTTTTCAGTTATTGAAAATCACTCCTTGCTGATCGCAATTCCACAGGTATAAGTTATGTAACAGTATTCCAGCCCCAGTCTAGTATCAGTCATAGCTAGCGAAGCAGCAAAAATTAAAAGTATTTCAGGTGACCAAGAATACTTGAACTTCCCAATGACAAAGCTGAATATGTCAGTGGTGGTGTCCATCTGAGTTGCAATAATTGCTCAATAAAATATATTCCTTTGGCTACTTTGTTGTAGCACTGTAAATTGCTTACAGTGCTTCACAGAGTAGTAGCAAAGCATGTTATATCCTGAACTCCCACCAATACTCATGAGCAGTTCTTTTCAAAAGCCAAGAGCTTATGAACAAAACCAGTAGAATCAGTGATTATCGACAATATAAAAAAAATCACAAAGATACAAAAATTTGCTCTGAGAAACTCTTTGAACAGCTTCGGATTAGTTTTCATCATGCCATTATCCTTCCTTATTCATGGCATTTTACAGGGGTTTCACACTGTGTTGCTCTCCACTTGTAATCCTAGTCTGTTTTAAAACCACTTCTTCCATTGTTTTCCTTCTTGCAGAAAAAAACAATAAAGAGAAAATGATGGAACAGTTGTACAGTACACTCTACTTGCTACAGGACTGAACTCCTTGCCTGGAACACCCTTTTTCTTGGATATTTCTGTATGTTTGCAAACTCTGTATTACTGCTTTGGGGAACTGTGCATTCTTATTCATAGAACCACAAAAATGCAACAGAAACAATAAAATAAAATTATGTAACAATCTGCTCAGTCTGTACATGGAACATATCATATGGAAAACTGGATTAGATTCAGATGAAGAAGGAGAGAAAATTGGTGGAAGAAATATCGGTAATTTAAGATATACAGACGACACCATTTTACAGCAATTAAAACAACGCTGAATGAAGTACAAAAGTGAAACTGCAGTTGAACGTTAAGAAGTCAAATCATGACTACTAAAGAACAATATGTTATTGTTGTTTAGTCCTTAAGTCGTGTCGGGCTCTTGTTGGCCCCATGGACCAGAGCACACCAGGCCCTCCTGTCTTCCACTGCCTCCCGGAGTTGGGTCAAATTCATGTTGGTAGCTTCAATGACACTGTCCAACCATCTCGTCCTCTGTCGTCCTCTTCTCTTCATGCCTTCACGCTTTCCCAACATCAAGGTCTTTTCCAGGGAGTCTTCTCTGAGATGGCCAAAGTATTGGAGCCTCAGCTTCTGGAGCTGTCCTTCCAGTGATCTGTTCTTCCAGGGTTGATTTCCTTCAGAATGGATAGGTTTGATCTCCTTGCAGTCCAGGGGACTCTCAAGAGTCTCCTCTAGCACCAAAATTCAAAGCATTAATTCTTCGGCAGGCAGCCTTCTTTATGGTCCAGCTCTCACTTCCTTATATCACTATTGGAAAAACAATAGCTTTGACTATGCGGAGCTTTGTTGGCACGGTGATGTCTCTGCTTTTTAAGATGCTATCTAGGTTTGTGATTGCTTTCCAAGAAGCAGGCATCTTTTAAATTTGGGGCTGCTGTCACCATCTGCAGTGATCATGGAGCCCAAGAAAGTAAAATCTTTCACTGCCTCCATATCGTCACGTTCTGTTTGCCAGGAGGTGATGGGACCAGTGGCCATGATGTTGAGCTTCAGACCATTTTTTGTGCTCTCCTCTTTCACCCTCATTAAGAGGTTCTTTAATTCTGTCATCAGAGTGGTATCATCTGCATATCAGAGGTTATTGATATTTCTTCCGGCAATCTAAATTCTGGTTTGGGATTTCTCCAGTCCTCCAGTGGGAGGAGACAATTTACCGGGAGCACCAGAGGAGAAAGGAAAAAAGGTAGAGAGAGAAAAGGAGAAGGAAGCTGAATATGATAGAATGAGAGGATTATTGGAACATTTTCCTAATCTAAAGGAAATCTAATGGGTTGCTGCCTAATCCGGACTTCACCAAAAGGAAAGAGACACAAGTGGATCTATTAGAATGGACAGTGGTGGTATATCCATGAGAAGGTCATTGGAATAAGGTGGTCCATCCAGACTCCTCATTCAACAACCCACCTCTGGAGGGCGACTGGGCAAGGCACCCCTATTGTGGAACCATCTGCGCCATGAGGAGTATACCCCTGAGGAAGCCCACCGATCATGAATGGTTTGGACCAGCCCCTTCTTAGATCCTGTCAGTTCGAACACAGAATTTTTGTCTCCTCATTATGGTTGAAGTGACTGTTGATTCTCCAAATGTTAAGATCAATAAATCTGTTAACGTTCAAAAGGAGCCTCCCTTGTTATTTCACCCCAAAAAAGAGGAACTGCTCCAGATCTATAACCAACCTGATCACAGACTGTATACAGATTATCCATCTCTGGCTGCAAAAAAACATAATCAATCTGATTTCGGCATTGCCCATCTGGTGATGTCCATGTGTAGAATCGCCTCTTGTGTTATTAGAAAAGAGTGTTTGTGATGACCAGCTTGTTCTCTTGACAAAACTCTATTAGCCTTTGCCCTACTTCGTTTTGAACTCCAAGGCCAAACTTACCTATTGTTGCCTTTATCTCTTGACTCTAGCATTCCAGTCCCCTATAATGACAAGAACACCTTCAGGGGAAGGCGTTGTAAGTCTTCATAGAATTGGTCAATTTCAGCCCCTTCAGCATCGGTGGTTGGCACATAAACTTGGATTACTGTGATGTTGTAAGGTCTGCTTTCGATTCGTATTGAAATCATTCTATCATTTTTGAGATTGTATCGCAGTACAGCTTTTCCCACTCTTTTGTTGACTATAAGGGATACTCCATTTCTTCTATGGGATTCTTGCTCACAATAGTAGATATGATAATCATCTGAATTGAATTCGCCCATTCCCATCCATTTTAGTTCACTGACGTCAATGCTTATTCTTGCCATCTCCTGTTTGACCACATCCAGCTTACCAAGGTTCATAGAT